AAAATACGGCGATCGACAGAATAATACAGTTGAGTGAGCAGTGAATGTTTTCTTAATTTGACCATCTTCAACTTCAACAATCGTATCAAAGTAATCCTTGTTGTTTAGGAGTTTCGTAAAATCTTGAGAAAGATTGTCGACAAGTTTAATGGGCATTTTTATTTTGGATGTTCCTAGAATGGATCATTAACTAAAAAGTACAGTACGTACGTAAACATATTACGTATGTACAGTATCATGTGAAATTTCGTCGATCACTCGTATACAGTACAAACATTAAGCGTGTAATACGTATAAAGTATTTTTAATTAATTGTGCTAAAATATTGAACCATCAAATAAGAACATTTAATTGTCTTAATAATATAAAATAATAATGATAATAATTTTTTATCCAAATATACAGTACATAGTTCATATTTCTCCTAATGTTACAGAAATAGTGTGTTATGTCCCAAAATAATCCATTTGTTGCGTGACAGGATACGTTGTAAAGATCGAACTGATTCTTGATTTTAATTCCGAATTTCTCTCTGCCTTAACTTATTTATAAAATTCTTCATGAATTCTTTTGCATATCCTTGCAAATATTGCTTTTGAACACAAACAAAAGAGAATTAGATATTTCAGTATTATTTGTGTATATAAGAAATTTATTGCTACTCACCTCATGTTCGGCGCTATGTACACTAACAAGATTGTGTGCCAACTCATGACACATCGTTAAAAACCAAGAAGACATAGCTTCGATCGATGGCTTTGAACCTTCAAAATAGTGCGATTCAATATATGTTTTCAAGTTAAAAAATAAGGTGCTCTGACAGTTGAAGGCAACCGTCGTGGTATCTTTTTCATAGAATATATGGATTCTGTTATGTTCGAGGCCGAAGATATCAGCGATATCAATTAAAAGAGTCGAAAAGCTTTTTAAAGGCCTAATCATTGTTGTTGTCAAGATGTTGGGGGAACCTTTTGCAACGTAAATTTCAATTACACCTTCGTTTCCAACGTATTCTAATGATTGTGCTAAAAATTGAATAGTGTTAATGTTATTCGAAAATTTCTAAATCTATATGAATTCTATCAATAATGTACCTGTAGAAACATCACAATATGTTGAATTATTTGTTGCCTCAACCTTATATCCTTGACCGTTGATCGCGCCTCGAGAGTTAGAACGACAAGATTTGATAGCATCACTTAATTTCTTATGCATACCTTTCTTAATAGAATCTGATCTGTCGGGTTGTTTTTGATTACTTTCAACAAAAGCTGATGTGTTCATTATACCCTTTATTCCTCGGTCAGATGAATACCCTATTCGTTGCAAGTCTTCTAGAGATGATGTTAACATCACAATCATACGTGAAGGATCAGCAGAGGATTTTTTATGAATATGTTCAACTAAAGCCATTGCAATGTCCGGAAAATACAAATCGCCATTTTTGCGGGTAATATAGAGTTTAAAGCGATTATTGGGATGGAAACTGGCATACGCTGATTTGTATTCGACGATATTTTGAAATTCATATTTTATAGTAATCTGGTTGATTTCTTTGACTATTAGCATTCTTAACCAATTTTCGTCTTTTTTGATTGCACCGTTCTCGAATTTATCGTAGTATAGAGGTATACGTTTTGATATTATTTCACGTACGTCGTCAGAAAAAAATGAATTTTTCGCTTTTTCTTCGTCAATTTGAGGAGTTGCCATTACACTTTCATTGAGCGACCTACACCCCAATGCCTTGTTAATGTTAAAGAAAACATCAATATCTTTATAATAAATTTTATCTCAATATCGATATTGCACCCTCAAAATAAAATGCATTACTGTACCTTGTAAAGTGCAACAACGTATGCATCATCAAATGGGCAAATAGGAGGATTAAAAATTTGCTTGTATTGATCCTTGTCATTAATAAATATCTTCGCTGCAACGTCCAAATTAAAACTTTTGGTTTTGTTGTCAATTCCTTGCGTCGAGCATATTAAGATCGGGCTTCGCTTCATTTTATCCAACAATTCCGGCTCCTCAGAGATTACATCCAAGTTACGAGAGATATTTTCAAGAACCGTTGCGTACTTTTTTTCATTATCATTTGTGTTTTTTAATTTATTCCAAAATATCTGAGATGATTCGACTAAGAATTCCGCAAAATGAACTATTGTTGGCTTATTTTTTGTGCCACATGCTTCTAAAAATCTGTTTGCTCTTTCTCCAAAGTCGATGCAAAAGAAAAATTCGGAAAAGCTAAAATAATAACAATATAGTATATATAATATACATTAGTTCAATTCATTATAAAAAATTTTCCCAAAAAATATCTATACTGTATATACAAAATAATATGCATACATTTCTTCTGAACTTTTGAAAAAGCAATTTCGTGGCGATTTGTGAATGACTTTATAGGGATAGCCTTTATTCTGAATGGGTATGAACTTGAGAGTTCCAAGTTTTTTCCAATCCCAATGATCAAAATCACCTTGCCGTGATGCTAAATAATTGAAAATCGATCTGGCATCATTCACGCTCTTCGGTGGATCCAACAGCTTGTCGATTAGTTGCTTTCCACTCGGATGCTGCTTAATACCCAATTCTTCGGCTTGAAAGCGCAAATCTTGGCGTAAAACATTAAATCCCATCACATCGCATTCTGGATTGGAAAAACATTCCAATGGTTTTGCATAAACGTCAAGTTTAGTGCAAGGCAAGAACTTAAATTGAACAGTATTCGCATTATAATTTTGAGAATATCTGTTCTTAAAATTTTCCACGAAATATTTGAGCGCTTTATCACGAATCGAAAGCATTGTTATTGGTGAAGCAAGCTTAAGGATGACTTGCAAGGGTGGATGCTCGTTTAGACCAATATCTATAAGAAATTTGGCTATAACGTACCCGTAGGTTTGGTTATTAGAAATTGCAACGACCATAAAACTTAATTACAAATAGTTATAGAAACACACCTTCGTCCGATTTACTATACCATCTCTTATCCCACTGGATTATTGGCAATCCAAGTTCTCGATTATGGATTTGTGGAGCATATAGACTGTCCGCTCGATATCTTTGTGGAACGTACAGACTTTCTACTAGATATCTTTGTGGAGCATATAGACTCAGCAATCGATGTCTTTGTGGGGCGTACGAACTCTCCGCTCGATATCTTTGAACATTAGACTGCGATTTACTCGCACTATCCACTGAATATCCAGTGTCTGAATCTTTTCGTGGTTGTTCTGCTATCCAAATTTCTGTTGTCTTTAACTTTATGATATCAGTCGTTGTAAGTTTCTTATCCTTCATCAGTTTTCCAAAATACTTTACGAGCTCCATGTGATCTAGGTTTTTCGGATTCACAAGACGGTCTAAAACAAATTGTAACTCTACATGCTGTTTTATAATTATAATTCATTAATGATCGATAGAGATTAATAAGAAAAACAATCCAGTACTTACATCACGTACTCCTAATCCTGTGAAAACCTTCTCAGAAACCTTGAAGGACATTTGAACTGTTGGCAAATCTGAGAACAGAGTCACTTCAGGAAAATAAGATTCGGCTGGCTTTTTAAGTCCAAATTTTGTAGGAACAAACTTTTTTTTAGAGAGCAGGTTGCATATTGCGACTTTATCGATTTTATTCATAGAATCAAATCTTCGTGAAAAAGTCTTCCAAAATTTTTCGTTAAATTGAGGATCATTTTCCAATTCTTGTTTCTCAGCAATATACCGGATCCATCTAACGAGAGTAAATTCTGTCCATTTTCTAAACAATTAACCAATACAGTACTGTATTAGATCAACAAAATCAATGCAATGAAAAAAAAATTACCGTATATTACTGTAATAGATAATACGGTACTGTATATAAAAATTTTATGTTTTCGTACCCAAAGAATTTTTGGAAATCTTCGCATTTGATCTTCTTGCTAATAGAATGTGGTAGTACACTAGGCGGAAGGTCCATATCGGCTAAAATTACACTCGGGTTTATGTAGTAAAGAACATTCTTTAGAAGTAGCAAATTATTTCCCACGCGTACAGCTGCCAACTGCAAGAATTTACTTAAATATGAAGAGATGTTTTTGTTTTCCGAATGTGTGAAGTACAATATCCACCATTTCATCAGATCCGCCATCTCGTCTTGATTCATGGTTCGACTTTTTAACTCCAAAAATACATCTTCAATGGTGGCTTCATAAATTTGGTTCGTTATGTCTTTTGCTCTCATAAAAAACTTTATGCAACAATCTAACACAGATTTCGGGACTGATGGAATTGTTTTAATAAATAAGCTCATTTCAGGACTAAGTAACCGTACCGCGTTAATCGGTCTGACACCGTGCGTAGATAAGATCGATAATTTTGACGAACTACAATTTAAAAAATGCGTTTCAATTATCGATCCTACTTTAAAATCCGGTGTGCTTGATTCGAAGGTAAAATACGAGAGGGTATACACCGCACGTCTTTCAAGTAATGCTCTGTCTGACCCACTTTTTCCATATAATTTTCCTATTAAATTCATCTCATGTTCATATAAGATGCGAAACATTACTCCGGATAATCCTAGAAGTTCGCTGTTATACACGGCCAATGTTTTCTCGGCCAAATCTATTGACTCACGTTCGACCTGTTAAATGCGAATTATTATTATTATTATTATTTAGCATACGGTAGTCTAGCAAAAATTGTTGTAACTTAAATAAAATAGATAATTCATACAGTTGGAATAACTCTTGCTGCCAAATGTGCAAAACAACCAGTTGTTTGGTGCGTACGAAAACCGATAAAAACTCTTCCTTGTTCGGAATATTGTAGAAGATCACTAAAAGCATAGGACGTCTTGTGTTTGGGGATATCATCATAACTAGAAAAAATCAATTGCATGGTAGTTTGGCTTGGGGGTTTTTTCTTAGTTATCCGCTCCATCTCTGCTATAAACTCTTCCTTTATATTAACATCCATGTCACCACTGACAATTCGAAGGCGTATTGAATCTTTTTCTACAGAACAGATGCTAAGTGACTTAAATGGTGATGCACCTGTCGGAAATACCATCCTACGTATGCTGAATAATACACCACGCATATCAATCGATTTAAGTTTAAACATATTCAACGGAGAATTCCTGTTTATGTTCGACTGGATTTCCACCGGTCGTGGGCTACCCATTTGCTTTGAAATATGAATCACGGCTAGGTCATTGCAATACACCAAAATCTCGCGAAGGTTAACTGTAAATCCCTAAACCCACATTCAATTACATGAGTAGATGAATACAATATTTTGGCGTCAATTTACTTTTAACACTTACTAAAGAGGTAACCAGGAACCGACTAAATTCAGTCAAATCGGGAACCTAATTGATAGCATATGCATCAGTTAATTTTAAATAAAAAAATGTGGATCTGTTAGACGTGGCACTTCAATACCTCTGAAGGTTTTCGTAATTCCATTAAAAATGTAGTCCACTCTGAGTCACCCAAGACTTTCGGATTAAATTTCGCAAACAACTGATCACCGCACCAATAAAACACCATAGCCTGCCCGCCGGAACTCACACTTTGTTGTGAAGTATAATTAGTGGTAAAGGGATGCTATTTGTCCCAAGAATAAAAACTTGAGAAAACTTACAATGGCTCTTCGCACTTTGAAAACAATGAATAAAATCCAACACCGAAAGCGCCAATCTTGAATATAAAGTTTAATATTGATGATTAATTATCATATTGGCACAAAGCATTGATGAAACGGACCTTTTGTTCATCTGGATTTCCCTCAGCAATCTTCTTTAATCGATTCCAATCTTGGGGTCGAAAAGCGAACCCATTGTTCTTGAATACTATTCTCTCGCACTTTTTTGAAATGTCTGGACTATCGCATTTAAATGAGATCTTGACACTTGAGGCCTTTGCATCATCTTTTAACAGAATCTTCGTTAGTTCAAGAAAAATCAGTAGCCATTGCAAAAGGTTCGAACCTGCGTTTTGCAATAATCCTCGGTATACCACAAACTCAGACGGATAACTGTTCAAGATTTTCTTTAGTCAGACATAAAGAAGAGTATTTATTCACCACAATTTAAACTCACCGTGCTAGCATATTAAAAATCAAGCGCCTTTGATTGACTTCAACCCGCAGTTCACCAGCTGCATTGGACATCATCTCCTTCTTAGTCTCTTCCGGCGACATCTTGCGGATAATATCTATAATCTAAAGATATTGAGTTAATTTCGTTCACAAAACCTTTGGAATATTCTTATAGATGATTATACTACGTTGATTATTCTTTTAATTTGTGGTCCTCTCTCATCTTTTATCTTTCTTTTAAATCTTTATTTTCGTGGTACTATGTGAAATGAAGTTTATCATCAATGTAAATGAAAACTAATTTTGGTATTTATTATGGATATTACCATGTTGCTCTTTTTAGATCGCGATTAGTGAGCATGAAGGTTTTTTCTTATGATTTTTGGTTGAATATTCAATAACACTGTGTCGGTGTTTTACCCAGTTGAATACAACTCCTGATGTTCTTTTCTTCGTGTCAATTCGAGATTTATCTCTAACAATCGCTTCTTCTTACAAAACTTAAAAGCCATAAAATAATAAATCAATTTTTGAATATATAAATAAACAGACAAATTTTTATGAATCGTTGATTTAGTTCTTCAATTAGGCACTGAAATAAGTTACGTGTGCTACTACGAGGAGAAAATCATCAGTACTCCGCTATCCGTGAAAGCATAAACATTACGCTAGATACAGTATTACAGGTATAAACATACATAATTGCAAACCGCGATAGTTATCAGGTATGGTAAATGAAACTCTAAGTAGACTTTTATATGGCTTCTCTGTGAACCTGTCAAATTTATACAATATAACTAAATTTTCTAGATACATGTCAATAATGGTACGTAATGTTTTCAGGTGAAACCTGTTACAGTAAATTAGACAATCGCTTACTCTAAAATCATATTAAATGTTGTGTGAAG